GTTTAGAGTATCAAATCTTTTTTCTATCCTTAACATAATTCCTCTTAATATAATATTAGATTCATGTACATTTATTACATCATATACTAAGACAAACGAAAACTAGAGCAAATTTATCTTTTCTTAATTGAAATGAATCTCCACATTGAGAGTGATTTTAAGTTGCCATATTTTATTGTAATGTTCTAAGGCTCTGAGCAAACAATAGTGCAGGTATGAATCTCAATAAGAACATATTTGTAAAAATAACACAGATATTGAAAATCATAGAAGAAGCTCTATGATTTGGAAAAATTGTTTGCCATTCTTGTGATTTTCTTAAATGTTTCTTAGTCAGTGGTGTTTTAAAAATTTTTTTAGGTATTACTGGCTCCATAGAATATAGTTCCCACAAGCTACAAAATTTTAAGAAAAGACCATTCAAGTCATATAAACAATCACTTCTCCTGAATGTCAGAATGTTTAAAAACAGGAACAAAAATATAAGAAGCATACCCAAATGATCACAAACAAGACCACACTAAAGCTACCAGCACGAGTATGTTTATTGCAGCATTATTTACCATAGCTAAGATATGGAACCAACCCAGTTGTTCCTTAGTAGATGAATGGATCAAGAAAATGTGGTATATATACACAATGGAATTCTATGCCTCTATCAGAAAGAATGACATTGCCCCATTTGTTAGGAAATGGAAAGACTTGGAAAAAAAATTGTATTAACTGAAGTAAGCCAGGCCCAAAGAAACATAGGCCCCATGGCTTCCCTTAATTGCAAAAACTAGTATATGTCTGAGTCAAGCAGAAAAGGTCAGATAAGTTGATGTTAGGGAAATGAACCCTAAAATCTGTATTCAAATTTTTTTTTCTTTCATGCGATTGTTTCTAACACATTTATAAGATGATTTCTTTGTTGCTTTGTATGTCCTTCCCCCACAGTATAACCCCTGCTTTCACTATATTTGATGTTGGTATAATTTGTGGAGGGGAAGGGAAAAAACAAAGCGTTTAAATAGGGATACAGGTGGACCCATTGCAACAGTGAGATGTACAAGTTGTTATGTCGAAAAACGAACTTTACAACTTTGGTGGGAGGGGGGCAGGGAGGGAGGAGGATTCGGTGGGGGGGGGGACAGGGAGGAGGATGATGGGAAGGGATGGGAAGGGGAAACAAAGGAGGAGGCTACAATGCTTGATAAGAAATGTACTCACTATCTTGCCCATGTAATTGTAACTCCTCTGTACAGTATTTTCACAATAAAAAAAAAAAAAAAAAGAAGCAAGAGTAAGGATTCAATCAGTAGCACACTGATCCCATTTTCCTCTCAACTGCTGTTATTCTTCTGGTGTTTATTCATAGATGTTGGAATTCTGATTCATAAAATTAATGAATTAGCCCAAATTCTTTGTGGCTTAAAACTGGGTAGAATGCTACCCTGTGTTACAATGTCAAGAAGAATTAAATATACTTTCTTTTTACTATAAATTCTTTTTCAAATCTGACCCCAGTTTTTTTCTAAATAAAAATTATGTTGGCAGGAGTATGCAAAAGAAAGAGCCTATGGCAGATATTACTTTTCAAGATGACTTTCTTGTCAAGCATTCTCTTCTATAATCTTTTCTTCAGGTGTACAATTCAGACTCTTCTTTCATGGTCTCACACACTTGCTTTAATCCTCTTACCTCTCAGAGTGGTACTGGAAACTCAACAATATCTTCAATTATTGCCCTTATCATTTTGGAATTGTGAAGACCATCATGGGAAGAACATTTGGATGTTGTTAGAGAAGTGTCTAGAAATACTGAATCTTGTAGAAAATGTGGAGGTTACTTTTTTTAGTATCCCTTAGGGCTCATGTTTTTTGTTTATTCATTAGTTTGTTTTTGAGCATGTCCTGGTGCTTGACGTGAGGCCGTGAGTACTGTCCCTGAGCTTTTTAGCTACAGTTCCAACTCAGGCTTTTTGGTAGTTAATTGGAGAGAGGAGTCTCATGGGCTTTCCTACTGGATTGGCTTAGAAGAACAATATTAAGATCTCAGCCTCCTGATTAGTTAGGATTACAGACATGAGTCATTTGCATCTGAATTGGCTCATATTTTTAACCACAAATTTCTGACCCCCTGCCCTATTCTCCCCCAATTCATTTACTTCAAATTATTCAGTTAATTGCATTGAACCACAGCCCAGTGCTCACTTCAAGTTTAATGTTCTGAGACTTCTAATTAGAAGTGAGACAAAAAAAAAAAAAAATAAGAAGACAAATTTCAGCTATTCCTATGTTCAAATTAAAGCATTGGTCTAAATGATAATTGGTCCCATCTTTTTTTAGCAGTAATGTTCAGGGGGATGATTTTAATGTGGTTTGGAAGCATCTATCTTTTTAGGTGTGTTAACACTCTCCTTGAAGTCTTGTTTTAGCTATTCAATTATCTCAATATATTTTGTTCCTCTAGAGAAACTACAAAGGTAAATTATACATTAACTTTACAAATTCCAAACCAAAATTATTCAAAGAACACTTTTTAATGTATGAGAAAAATAATTACAAAATTAAATGGAAATTTTGCTAACTTTTGAAGACAAACAGATTAAATGCTAAGAAACTATGCAAAGCTATAGTATTCACAATGTGTTAGCAAATTATAAATTATCACAAAAAGAGGAGCATCCCAAGAGCATTCAGATTTTGAAAAAAAAAGTTTTAGATACAGGTATTAATGAAAATGAGGAAAGTACATTTTTTATAAAACTACTTGAACAGCATAAACATTCAATTTTGTTCCAACCATAATAATGTCTTCTAGAGAACATGTTTTATTTATAGCTTTATTTTACTTTAACAAAGCATAATCTAACAATGCAGAAACACAAGCTTTAAATTTGCTAAGACACAGATACTAAATTTTTGAATTTTATTAATTAAAATTAAAAGTAGATTTAGTCAGGCTGATGTTAAAAATCATGCTATGGAGAAGTACATTGACTCTGAAATTTGTTTCAAGTGATAACTATCCACAAATCCTTATTTCATTTAGGATTAAAGGTATTCTAATGATTTCTTTATTTATACAGAAAATACTTTTTCTTCTCCTGTTAAATATGCACTATTGCCTTGCATATAGGTTCCGTCATGATTGGGCAATATAGGGACAGAGTCCATCCCACTGAAATTTCCCATGTTTCCTTATAAGTTGGGGGAAAATTGTGATCAAAGAAAGTAAATAAAAGAAGATTAAGCTGTAGCTACATAGTGAATTTGATAAATCTCATTTTCATTAAATATATAATTCAGAGAAAATTGATATGATGTCACCTCTTTTATTCTTCTTATTAAAGAGTAGTCTGTGGGTTTGGGGTTTGGGAAGGAATTGTGAGGAAATGAAAGTAAATGGTTGCTCTAGAAAGTGCTCACTGCCTAGAATAATAAAGGCCTAGGTTTGATCAACAAATCATGAGTGCCATTGGCATGTTATAATGGGTCCAGAAATAATGAAAGAAGAAAGATGATTTTCTGAAAGCCAACCCTCAAGCCAGTCAACTTTATTCATTAGGACACTTATCTTACAATGTGATATAACAGAGAGAAATAGTAAACACTAAATAAAATTTTCTGATCTTGATAAACCCCATTTAACTGGATTACAATTCATCTGTAGTTTTCCATCATAATATTGGAGCTTGCCAGCTCTGGTCTAAACCCTCTACTGCTTACTACTGAGATATTCTCCAATCCCCACATCCAAAAGTATTCTATTGCCAGTCTGGTTTCTACACTACACTATAGATCTCTGCACTTAAATTCTTTCTTGACAGTATAGGAAAAAAGATAGAACCAACACAGCTAGCAAACACATATTATGCCTATATTTCTTCCATGGCCACTCTTGGCCATCTCAGTGACTACCATTAAAAATTCACTCATTACTACAATCCCAAACTATCAATCCCCCTTATTTATTTTTATTTTTAGCTCATTGTACATGTCTAATCCTTCATCAAGCACTGGGGATTCTGCTACCAAAATACAAAATAGAAAATATATAATATATGCCAGAATATATGCCAGCTATGCATTGGTTGAAACCATTATATTTTCTTGTTTGATCATGGCTGTCACTCTACTACTTGAGCCACATCTCTAGTCATGGATTTTGCTGAATAATTGAATATAAAAGGTTCAAGGATTTGTCTGCCTTGGCTGGCTCTGAACTGTGATCCTATTGGTTCTGTTTTCCTGAAATGCTAGTATTATAAATATGAAATACTAGTGCCTGGGCTTTATCTCTCATTTATTAAAAAAAACTTTTTCCTATTAGCTCATTACTTCCCCCCCAAATCTATTATTTTATATTTAGCTAACCATCTGTTTTATAAAAAATAATTTATATTTCATGGTTGCCATTTTAGTCCCTTATCAAGTACAGGAAAAGAAAAAGAATGGAAATGTAATTTGGCAGAGACAGAGAGAGAGAGAGAGAGATAGAGAGAGAGACAGAGAAGAAGGAGGACAAGGAAGAGGAGGAGGAGAGGAAAGAGGAGGAGGAGCAGGAGGAGGAGGAGAAAGAAACAGAGACAGAGAGAAACAGAGATACAGAAAACACAAGAAGAGGGAGGGAGGAAAGAGAGAGAAAGCATGCATGAGTAAAAAACAGTGACTAAGACAGAAAATTTTAAGAAACATACACATTACCTTACTCATGTAACTGTAAGCCCTCTGTATAGCATCTTTACAATAAAATTTTAAAAAAAAATTTTAAAGAAAAATATTTAAAAAATAATTTAAGGTTTTGATTCATATTACTATTCGATATTTTAATCACATGAAAGGCATGCTGTCTTAAATATCACCAGAATAGGTCAATAATCGATATTGCTATTCTTAAAACAGGCAAACTTGATAACTGAAAATGTGTATAATGTAACAATATTTTCAAATTCTCATTTTGAATATAGGCCATGGGAAAAGGAATAGTACATAAACTTGAAAGATAGGATTGTGGTGCTCACTTTGGTAGCCTATATACTAAAATGAGAATGATGCAGAGATTAGCTTAGCCTCTACACAAGGATGACATGCAAATTTGTGAAGCATTCTTTCCTGTTTTCTGTATGCTGATAACAAGGAAAACATGGCTGAAATCAGAACAGCAATTCCTTTTGTAATAGCCCCACAAAAAAACAAAACAAAAAACAACCACCTAGGAGTTAACTAAAGAAGTGAAGGATCTCTATGATGAGAACTTTAAAAACCTGGAAAAGGAAATTAAAGCAGTACTAAGAAAATGGAAAATGGGCTGGGAAGCTGGCTCAGTGGTAGAGCGCTTGCCTTGCATGCCTGAGGCCCTGGGTTCGATTCCTCAGCACCACATAAGCAAAAAGAAAAAAGCCAGAAGTGGCTTTGTGGCTCAAGTGGTAGAGTACTAGCCTTGAGCTGAAGAGCTGAGGAACAGTGCCCAGGCCCAGAGTTCAGGCCCCACGACCGGACCCCCCCAAAAAAATGTTAATGAAAATGGAAAATGCCTCCCATGATCCTGAATTGGGAGGATTCACATTGTGAAAATAGCAATACTGCCAAAGGTATTTACAAATTCAATGTGATATCTATCAATATCCCAACCTCATTCTTCAATGAAATGGAAGAAGCCATACAAAAATTCATATGGAATAATAAACGACCCCAAATAGCAAAACCAATCCTTAGCAGAAAAAAACAGTGCTGGAGAAATATCAATACCAAATTTCAAACTCTACTACAAAGCCAGCTTGGTACTGGCACAAGAGAACCTGAGAACCAATGGAATAGAACTGTAGACCCAGAAATGAACCCACAAACCTAAACCCACCTAATATTCGATAAGAGAGCTAAAGTAGAATGGAAGAAAGAAAGCCTCTTCAGTGAATGGTGCTGGAAAAATTGGTTAAACACCTGTAGAAAACTAAAGCTAGATCCTTTTATATCACCCTGCACCAGAATCAATTCTGAATGGATCAAAGACCTCTAAGTTAAAGCAGACACCTGAAAACATTACAGAATGGAATAGAGGAAGCTCTAGGGCTCCTTGGCAGAGGCTGGATTTTCTTAATAAATACCCAGAAATGTTTTTAACTATCATTTTTAATTATTGGCTACAGAAGCCTGACTTTAAAATAATTTAAATGGATACTTAAATAAACTCTGATTTACTTAGGACTCAGTTTCCTGAATAGTTAGACGCTTGATAAAATTAACAGAAAACAAAATTTATATTAATAATGCAAAGTATTTTCTTTAAGCCAGCTTCTTCTAAGTGTTAAATAAGAACAAAGTATTTTGAGACCCAGAATTAGGTGCTGTAATAACAGGATAAATTCCAAGATAATTATAAATTAAAACCAACTTAATCACATGAAAAAAAGACCCAGAAACAACAAATCCAAGAAAGGTTGGACAAATAGGATTGCATGAAACTGCAGAGCTTCTGCATGGCAAAGGACATAGCTAGCAAGATCAATAGACAGCCCATGGATTGGGAGAAGATCTGCATTAGCCATACAACAAACAAGGGTCTCATATCTAAAATATACCTGGAACTCAAAAAATTTAATCCCCCAACAACAAATCTTCAAAGAAACAACTGCCCAATAAATAAGTGGGCTAAAGACTTAAGAGAAACTTCTCTGAATAGGAAATAAGGATGGCCAATGGACACATGAAGAAATACTCAACTTCTCTAGCCCTAAAAGAAATGCAAATCAAAAGAACATTGATTGAAATTCCATCTCACCCCAGTTAGAATGGCTATAATCAAGAACTCTAATAACAACAGATGCTGGAGGGGATGTGGACATAAGGGAACCTTACTTCATTGTTGGTGGGAGTGTAAACTTGTTCAACCACTCTGGAAAGCAGTATGGAAGTTCCTCAAAAGTCTACACATAGAACTCCCCTATGACCCAGCAATCCCACTTTTGGGCATTTATCCAAACAATCACAAACAAGACCATGCTAAAGGTACCAGCACAATTATGTTTATCAAATCATTACTCACCATAGTAAGGATATGGAACCAACCCAGTTGTTCCTTAGTAGATGAAGGGATCAAGAAAATGTGATATATATTGTTTTATACACACACACACACACACACACACACACACACACACACACACACACACACACACACACACACACACACACATATATATAAATTCTATGCCTCCATCTGAAAGAATGACATTGCCCCATTTGTTATAGGAAGACTTGGAAAAAATTATACTAAGTGAAATAAGCCAGACCCAAAGAAACATAGGTCCCATGGTTTCCCTTATTTGCAATAACTAGTATGTGTCTAATATAATCTTACCAGATAAGCAGAAAAGGTCAAAAGCTATGACCATATAAGATGATGACAAACAAAATGAACCCTAAGATATGGACACAACAGGTTTTTACTTTGCTATTGTTGTTTCTAATGTACTATGTGATTTTTTTTTGTTTCTTTTGTATGTATAACCTCTGTTGTCACTGTATTTGATTCTGGTACCCTGCATCTTGTTTATACATATTTCTAATTTGGGTAGGGGAAAGGAAATAACAAAATGCTGAAACAAGGATACAGGCTGACTCATTTAACAATGAGATGTACAAGACACTATGGTGAAAACGAATTTTACAACTTCATTCTGGGGGTGTGGGAAGGAGGAATTGGGGAGGTGAGGAGGGAAGGTATAGTAGGGGAAAAACAAAGGAGGGGGTAACAATGTTCAATAGGAAATGTACTCACTACTTTACTCATGTAATTGTAACCCCTCTGTAGAGTATCTTTACAATAAAATATTTTTAAAAAGGCAAAAAAAGAAAGATACAATTGTGCATTCTACATTTATGTTGGAAATGATCTGTATAACTTGGGTTTGGAAAGTAGGATAAAATTGAGGGAAAGGATAACAAGTTTGACAAGAAATGTACTTATTACCTTACTTATGTAACTGTAACTAACTCCTCTGTACATCTCCTTGACAATAAAAAAATTAACAAGAAAAGAAAAATCTTACAAAATTAAGATAGGAACAACTGACTAAAGACTATGTATGCTATATGAACTACTTTGCATCTTTTAAGTGAAAATAGAAAAAATGTGAGCTCAGGAAGGTGGAATATATAACACCAGAGCTTCTTTATTCGGATGTTTCGGGACTGTGTTCATGCCAGTACTGAAACTCTTCCACAGGTGACTCTGTGGTTCTGCTTTAAACATGCATATCAGAGAAAAACCTATTCATATAAAAAGTACATATGTCAAGTATACCTATATTTTAAAACATATGCAATGGTAACTTAGCTAACGGTGATCAGAGAACATATCTTGCTTGATTCTTTAATTGTGCTCCTATAGATATATTTGTATGTGTTGGGAAACTTTTTTCAGTTTCTTTGATCACCATATCTAAATATTCCTAAATATATTTTGTTATTTCAGATGATGGTGCCTGTCCATTAAACGAGCAACTGTGGTAAGTTGCTTATTTTCTTCTGAAAATTATGTGTGATGTGTGATGCTTTTCTTTACTGAGATTTACAAGTATCTTTTATCCCTATATAAACTTTGGCCAAGTTTGTTAAATGTTGTTAACCAACCCAATAGACATTATACAATGTTTTATGGCACTTTTTTTCCAGTTAAAACTGACTAGCCTTCAACTTGATTTCATCAACACAGCCTTTTATTTTCACAGATATTTCAAACATTTCCTTTTCAAACTTTAAATTTTTCAATCAATTAGGAAAATAATATCCTGTCAGTAAGTTTAATTAGCTACGGGAATATTTTACAGTGTTTATATTGATACCAAAACACTAATCATTTAGAGTCATAAATATTTTTTGTTTTCTCTATTAATCTTACAAGAGAAAGAAGAAAAATAATTTACATGTTTTAATTTGCATATTGCCTTACACTACTATAATTATCATCAAAAGATAACATATGTTGGTTTAGTTCTTCTCACCCTAATTCACCTCTGGAGAAGTTGCAATCCTTTTATGTTATCTTAGAAATCGAAGCCCCACATTTCAGCATGCTTTTCAAAAGACTGGCAAATTGGCATTTTCAAAGATCCTCTGTGCATTGCCAAACATACGAACAGACAACTTTACCTTATACTTTTTGAGGGTTTACTAATTTACAATAGATTGAAAAACAAGGTTGCATTCTCTTTTACTCAATTACAATTAGGACAAATGTTATGTAAGGGTACTTTTATATTTCATTGTCCCCCTTCCCCCAGATTAGACTGCTTGCTAAAATAAGAGATGCCAGTGTAGGTGCTGGTTTGAAAGGAAGACAAGAAAAAGACTGGAGATAAAAGAAATATTTACATGAATTCTGGTAAAAAAAAAAAAAAGAGTAGAAAACTATATGGGGTAATGTATGGGATATAGCATAGAAAATAGAAAATGTTGGAGCAAAAAATAGAATACCAGTGCTCTTCAAATCATAATCTAATCTACTTATGAATTATCTGAGCTATTTTGTTAAAAAGTAAAGACTTGAAATTAACTCAGAGGTAAGTGAACTCTCAAGTGATGTCCAAGTGGCTGGCCTGCAAACTGCTCTGTGAATAGAAAGGCATGTCATTTATTCCCTGTGCATCCTCTCCAAGATACTCCAGTCACCACATTAATTTTCATGTATTTGATTTGGATTAGGTTTTAGGTACTTTTTTGCCATGTGCAAAGAATAAACTTAGACTAAAGCAAAAAAGCCCACTTTTTAGAGAAGCCATACAGGAAAAGATCTAGTTAGTTGATAGCTACCCTGTATTGTTCCCCGATTTCATTACCTTGTAAATCTAGGATATATTGTAAGGGCTCCAACAAAAAAAGGTCAAACTCTTTGCTTCCAATAATGTTCAAGTGAACGAGAATTAAGAATTTATTTAAAAGTATATCTTTCTAATATGATATTTTCAAAGAGAATCATATCACCATCTTGCAATATTGTATAAAGCAATGGGGTGGTCATGGGACTATATGGTACTATTTAAGTAGACATCACTGCCATTTTTTTTTGTTTGAAAGTACTTTTGCTCAGAAAATGTAATAAAATGCTCTGGGTTTTGCA